AGCTGATCAATCCCTAGTGCAGTCTGAGCCCCAGGAGATCTTGTGAGAAAATTCTTGATAATTGAGAGGGAAAATTTTGGGGTACAACATCAAGTCATAAAATTCCATTAGAAAAATTACATTGACGCGGTCAAAGTCTGCCCCCTCCTCAGCGAGGACAACGGCCATCTCGGCCATCTTAACCATCTCGACCATGTTGGCGGCCAGATGCTTTCTCCGACTTTCTTTACTTAGCCGTCTGATGGTGTCAGCCTCCTCGGAACTTACAGTCAAGGGAAACCCCTCGAAGAAGCCTTCCTCTTTAAAGCAGGGGGGCAAGCCAAAGGCCCTCACCGCGCCAGACTCGTCGCCGACTTCCGGCTGGCTCTCTACCCGGTTTCTCTTCCTCGGTATCAGATCAATATGTTGCTCGACGTCCTGGGAGTCCGGGGACCCGCCAGAAGCATCACCCGAACTAGTTGGAGGGCCCATCCTCGTCGCCTGTGGAGCCCGCACCATCCTTTTGTTGACTTTCTTATCCTGTGTCAACTTTAGAAGCCTCTCCTTTCGTCCGGCCATATGACCTGCAAAAAAGAAAACCCGGGTTAGTTACGAGCAAGTAACAAACGAAGAAACTAGAACAAAACTACAAGACAAAAAGTAACCTAGCAGGTTCGCGGCCTGCCCGTAGACCTGGCACTCCACAAGCGCCTTGGTATCTATAGGACGGGCCTCGAAGGTCGGGTAACCATCCTCGTCGAGAATGTCCTTTCCCTCCCTCGTGGCCCACCGGGCAGGGAAGAAACTGTCGACATATCTGCAAAGGGTACCGTAGGCTTCCTCGTCCTCGGTACTCATCCCTCTCGCGGGCGTATGGTAATGCCCAGTACCATGCTCATAGTGGTGCAAGCTCCAATGCAATGGGAACTTAGCTACGCGCCCCAACACCGGGCGACCCTCATCGTCCATAAGAGGCTCCCCGTTATCATCGGTCACTGCAGTCTCTTCTTCATATACAGAATCCAGAGCAGTCTGGGATCGGCTGCACGACTTACCATTTGTCCTTGAAACCACGGACCGAGTCCATGTACATCCTGAACAGCCTATTCGACTGTTTCAGGGAAACCCAACTATGCCTACCTCCCCGAGACTGGCGTTGCAAATGAAAAACTCTGAAGAAGAGAGGGATGGTCGTCCCAATCCTTAGAAAGTGACACGTCAGCTCGAACGCCCGAAGAAAGGTGATCGAGTTGGGGTGGAGCTGCGAGGGAGCCAACTCCAGATGACTGAATACCCCGACCTGGAAATCACTAAAGGGGAGCTTGAGACCGAGGTCCTTGAATGCGATTTCATACATGGGAAACCCATACTCAGAGAACTTTGAGCATATCCGCGCGTCAAGAGACGGTCTGGTGACCACAAAGTTTTTCTGGAAGCCCGGCTGGCTACCGCCGTGCTCGACGATAGTGTAGGCGCTCTGACTGCGCCGACTATATGCCGAGGCAATCCCTATGGGCTCGGCGCCCACCCAATCCAGCAAAGGATCATCAACGGTATCGATTAGAGATACATTTTCCTCAGCACTTTGGTCTTCGACCTCGTTGCGCCCCGAGGACTCCGGTTCATCAGCCATTTTACCTGCAAAACACAGGAAACCGGTCAATTTGGGAGCAAATCCATACGCTCGCCATAACTGACGGGAAGAAGGGCACGACAAGCCAAGTCATACTCCGCGCACGTTAAAACGTTGAAGACTCGAACAAGAGTCTGGTTTCACCTCCCTGACGCCAAGGTGCCACGACGAGTCGTCCTACATACTGCCTAAATGGGCCAACATCCCGGCCAGTCATGAGTACGTCGACCTAAACTATGGAAATGACGAGCAATATCATGAATCCTAAACCTAGAACTACGGGTTTACCGGGCAATATCATAGGTTAGGCGCCCAAAACCATGAAGATCCCGGGCAGCATCGCGAGTCACATGCCTAAACTATGCGTTTATCGGGCACAAACATGCGTTCACTGGGCACAAACATGAATATGCCGGGCAGGAATATGAATGTACCGGGCGCAAGTCTCAGATGCGGATTTTCTAACATACAAATAACGGAAAAAATTACCTACAACAGAGAAAAATATGAGGGATATACGCTTACTTGGAAGTTATGAAGGATGTACGGCGGCAGGGAAGAAAATCGACGGCGGAAGGCACGGTGGTCATACAGAATTCTGGAAGAACAGCGGCGGTAAAGGCAGAGGAAGGAGAAGAAGCGCGAAGAGGAAAAACGGATTATGGGACCCAAGGATCCTATTTATAGGGATGACGTGGAATACGAAACGTCACCCCGGGGAACCACGAGCTTCCCCTCCTCGACGCCTACTCCCCTAGGCAATGATGGCTCTACTTTCAGTAGGGTGGCGTCACGGTTCCCAAGGGTTGCCTCGTATACCCAACGAGCACAGCCCGCAAAGAATCCCCCGAGCACGCCTCGAAAAGGGTTACCCCACGAACGCGACGCATGAGAAACTCCTCGAGCAACCACGGGGAAGCAAATATCCTGGCCGAGCATAAGGCCCCATGACAAAGACAAGCTGAGATCAAGTCATAACTCCTGCTCCAGGAGCCACGACTTGGGGGGCTCCTGTTCTGGACTGGGCCCGCCCTGGCCCAAGAGCAAGAACGAAGGCCCAATCTAAGTAACTCTTCAAGGAGCGCACGCTCGAAGATTCCCGCCAGCGCGTCGACCAGAAGCTGCAGCCGTGCCCGCCGCTGCCCGCGAACGTGACGTCCTCGACCACATGAAATCCAGCGCGAGCCCAGCTCGAGCACCCTCCTCGTAGGGCAGGCTATGACCGTTACTCCATCACCTGGACTCCGAAAAGACCGCGTCCTCGTCCCTCCGTACTTCTCGCAGAGCATCACCAGGGAGGGGACCACGTGCGGGTCCCCACTACACACGTAGAACCTAGAAGTTCCTTTATTGGGTCAATCCTGATCGGCCCAACAAAGGGACCTTGGCCCCGCGCTGGGGGCTATAAATACCCTCTATTCATAGAGGGTCATGTATTCATTCTTTTACCCATACACACACTTTTTGCCTGCTCGTACCGTCACTCACTTTAGCATCGGAGTGCCTTGCAGGTACCCCCACCTCGTTCAACTTTCGCTCGGAGTCAGTCGTGACGGTCCAAGTCTGATCGGGTAAGATCATATTGCATAACAAAACAGTACTATCACTACATGAACATCCAATTGAAATTGGAAATATTAAATAATAGACATGAGACAAATAAAACATCTTATCCGACTAGAGAATATGGTCGGTACTTTATATACTTAAGTTGGTTTTAAATGTTCCAAAAATATACAGTTAGAATATGCTAAGACTAAAATTAGATTTAGAGATGCATAAGAAGATAAAAACATAATAAACAACTTTCAGATTTTTTATTAGCCTTCAAGAAACAAAGAGACTACAATAAATAGTAGGGTTAAACTACTAAATGGGCCATGGGCCAACTAAGAAGAGAAATACATAAAAATATGACTAGAGAATAAATCTAATTGCACCCCATTAATAATAAAAATCCTTAAGTAAAACCGATTTTATTTTCTCCCTAATGGGCCTTTGAATCTTCTTATCAATACTCATTGGTCCAATGAGAACCCTGTCCTCAAGGTTCATAATGGAAAGAGGCTGCCTTGAAAAAGAATTGGGTAGAGAAATATTTGGGCCAACATGATTAGGAAATGGGTCGGTTGCAGTACGTGGCGGAAGCAGAGGCCGGTGTAGACATATTAGGGTTGGGAAGGGAAGTTTGAACGAACGATGGGGATTGAAAATGGGGACACGTGGGGAATTGGGGAGAGTGTGTTGTGGGAGACAGAGAAAGTTTGTCTTAAGCCAAGTGTGGTTGTACTTTGACTGTGTTACTTGTTGTTGGAATAAGGAAAACAAGTGGAACACGCGTGGGGCCCATCATAAACAACTCTACCACATGCAGTTAAAGGGTTTTGTAACGTTGGAGATCTCTCATTAAAAAGATTTTCCAACACAATCTTCTCTTTCCATTCCATATTTTCTCCCAACCACTTTCTTTGTGAAACATCTTCTCTCAACATTTTATTTTTTTGCAACTCTTTCGTTGAACTGCTTTTGTTTTTCCTTGTCAAACTCCGGGTGTTCCCTTGGTGTGTTTGTCCCAACAATACGAAGCGGTTGTTGAGGGGTGTCCTCTGGAAGGTGGAAATCGGTGGATTCCACAAAATTATCAGAAAACTCTGGTTTTTGAGACTGGTAAATACCAGAAATCCGCATGCATGTCTTGACCAAAGTAAGGTTTCAATAATGAAACATGGACCATAGGGTGAATACAAGGATGATAGAGCATGTAAGTGACTGCACCAACACGTTTGATGACTTTAAAAGGTCCGAAAAAATGATTTGCTAATTTCTGAGAAACGCGTTTGGAGATGGTATGTTGGTGATACGGTTGGAGCTTCAGGAGAACCAAATCACCCTTTTTGAAGGTAAAGTCTTTTTTGTTTGCTTGTTTCTCCATTGTGATTCTACTTTTTTTTAAGTTATCCTTTAACTGTCTGAGAATAGCTTGTCGTTGCTACAGAGATTCATTTGAATATTTTGCAGTTACTGATCTGGGCACGTAATTTGGAACCGTGGGTGGGTCACGATCATAAAGAGTTTTGAAGGGTGTCATTTGAATGGCATTGTGGAATGAAGTGTTGAACCAAAAATCTTCCAGATGGAAAAACTTGTACCATTGACGAGGGTGGTGGATTGCAAATCATCTTAGGTATGTTCCTAAACATCTATTGATAACTTCAGTTTGGCCATCTGTCTCTGGGTGGTAGGACATACTATATTTTAATGTTGTACCATGTGTTTTAAAAAAATCCTTCTAGAATTTACTTAAGAAGAGTGGATCGCGATCAGAGATGATGGACTTGGGGATTCCATGCAAGCGGGCTATATCTACTAAAAAGGAATAACAAGATTCTTAGCGGTGAAGTTTGTTGGTAAAGCAATGAAATGGACAAATTTTGTGAGATGGTCGCAAATGACCCAAATCACGGTGTGGCTGAAAGAGTTTGGTACGTTTGTAATAAAGTCCATAGTAAGGTCGTCCCAAATATGGTTTGGGATTGGTAGAGGTTGCAATAATCCCTTTTTTCTTTTGATTTATGTATTTATTGTGTTGACAAGTTACACAATGTTTGAAAAAGTTTTTGACCGTTATGTAGAGACCTGGCCAAGAGAAGGAAGCTGACATGTGTGCAAGGGTTGCCTTAACACACAAGTGGTTTATGGTGGGTGTGTCATGAAACTCATGAAGAAGGTTGTTGTGAAGTCCAGCTATGTCGGATATGAAAATTCTATCCTTGTAGTGCAAAAGCCCCTTGGATAATTTGTATAATTTGTGCTCTGTGTTGTTCAGTATTGTTTGTTCCACTAACTTTTGACCTGATGTATCTTTGGAATAGAAGTCATGAAGCATAATCAAGAGAGTTGAACTGGAGAGGATAATGTGAGTAACAGTGGGTCGTTGGATTGAAAGTTGCGGCTTAAGGCATCTGCAACCAGATTTAATTTTCCAAGTTTGTAAAAAATCTCGAAATTAAAGCCCTGTAATTTAGCAGCCTACTTATGTTGTTCTGGTGTCTGGTTTTGTTGAAGTAACAAATTCCTGAGACCCTTTTGGTCAGTATAAGTGTGAAATTGTTGGTCAATAAAGTATTGACACCATTTTTTTACTGATTCTGTAATAGCAAACATCTCATGCACATAGATAGAAGCAGCTTGCATGCGAAGACACACTTTCTTGCTAAATAAAGCTATGGGATGACCACCTTGTGACAAAACAGCACCAATGGCAACTCTAGAAGTGTCTGTTTCCACGATAAATGTTTTTGTAAAATCTGGTAGAGCTAGGACTAGCATGTCGGTCATTATTTTCTTTAATTTATTAAAGGCAACTGATGCCTATGTACTCCAAGTAAATTAGGAGAGGCGAGAGTGACATAGTTACGAACAAAATGGCGATAGAACCCAATAAGGCCTAAAAAACCGTGGAGAGCTGTGAGCGAACTTGGATGAGGCCAGTCCAAAATGGCCTTTAATTTTTCCGGATCGGGTGCAACACCACTCACAGAAATCACATGACCTAAGTGATCACTAAGGTTAGCACTATAAATCACTATATCGTAAAAAAAAAAAAAACTATAACGAACTTTCGTAAGGAAGGTCGTAATAGATCGTTCATGGAAGATGTAAAAAAAAAACTAAAACGAACTTTTGTAAGTAAGGTCGTAATAGATCGTTCATGGAAGATTGAGAAGTAGAAGGGCATTTGTAAGCTCGAAAGGCATTACGAGAAACTCATAATGTCTATTGAAAGTCTGAAACAATCTCATATGAGTATCATCCATTGTAACACGTATCTGGTGATAGCCAGAGCGTAAGTTTAACTTGGTAAAAACATGTGTTGAGCTCAGTTCGTCTAATAATTCATCGATGGTTGAGATTTGGAATTTGTCTTTTATTGTAACTGCATTTAGTGCACGATAGTCCATACAAAAACGCCATGTGCCATTTTTTTTTACAAGTAAAACTGGGGAAGAAAAAATATTGTTACTAGGTACAATGATGTTGTCTTTTAACATGTCCTCAATAATGGTTGTCATGGCTGCTTTTTGGGAATGTGGGTAAGGTATGGCTTAACATTGATAGGGGGTGTATCGGGTAAAAAGGGAATGTGATGGTCGTGAGGTCTGGTTTGGGGAAGTTCGTTGGATGGTTAAAAAATTGTTGGGTCTTGATGTAAGAGGTCAGAAAGGTTAGGGTGAAGGTTTAGGGGTAAGTTTTCCAAAGCACGGGGGTTAGGTGATTTAGGGAAGTCGTGGTATAGTTAATAGGTTGGAAAATCATTAGATGAAGTGACAAAATTGAGTTGGTGTGGATAAGGTGGCGAAGTTGGTGAAAAGTGGTATGAATTGGTTGTGAGGCGGGATAACCCTGTAAAGTCATGGTTGAGTTTGTTATGTGTAAAGGTGATAGATGGAATGGAGAAATTCACCTGAATTGGACCTAAAGTATGTAGCCAAGCCATGCCAAGAACAACATCGACCCCTTCGACAAATTGATTCTGCTTGATGATTATCAAAAGCTCTTGTAAAAGAGAATCAATCTGTCAATAATTGATTCTGGTGCATCCATTTAAACCAGTTTTATTGTACCCCAAAATTTACCCTCTTTATTTTGACCTTTTGGCTTACATTTCATTATTACATACACGCATATCATTGGTTTTATGGTTATGGAATCAAGGTATATTTAGCAAGCTTCTCCAGGTTACAAGTGACATTTATTTCGCCAATGGATGTTCTCAGAGTATTTTCCGTGCTGAAGATCAGTTCGCTGTTTTGCAATGATTCGGGGTTCAAAGATTCAGAAGTCCAACCCAACGCGTCATATTCAGGTGTTCTTTCGCCAAGATATCTCTGATAATATATTCTAAAATTCAGGTTTGGCTCAAGAGTCAATTCTTTAAAGAAAGTCTCCGAACGTGTCAGTTTTACCGAAGAAACGTGGTGAAAAAGTATGCTGAAAGTGCAGTTTTTACGCATTAAAAAATGCATAACTTGAAGATCGTGGTTTGTTTTGAATCTGTTCCGGTGACCAAAATTCCATCTTGACGTCATCTACATTTTCATCTCTCACCGCTGGAAGCCAATTTCGATCAGAAGATCTTCAAAAATGCGGATTTATCAAGTATTTTCGTACAAAAAATTTGTGACAGAAGTTTATTGGCGTCATGTTCAGAAAATCATAACTTGGTCGATTTTCATCGTATCGAGCTGGTTCCGGCGCCAAAATTTCACAAATTGAGTTGGCTAAGTTTTCACAGGAGGTATTGAGTTCGAACGGTATTCAAAAGACCTTCGTTTTTTTATCCAGAGTGCACGTGACGCGCCGAAAATCCTGAATGCTGAATATTATTTCATTTGGGTCGAAACTTCTAAAATTCATAACTCGGTCAATTTTTATCGGATCGGGCCCATCTTTTTACAAAAGGTCACTAATTCACCATTTATCCGATTGGGCCTATTTTCGGACAGGAGTTAATTCTCGTTGCAGGCTACATTTTGTTTTCATATTTCAACTTCAAAAATTGCACTTAAGTCCTTGCGATTTAGCCTGGAACGTGACGGACTCAAGTGAATAAAAATCTGCACTATTGCTTGTGGTTATTGGAGGCCCAATTGCACATTCAAAGCCCATTTTTTTCTTTAATTTCTATTATATAATCTCATTCTTTTCACACAAACGAAACGAAAAAAACACTTGCCACAACCCTGTCAAAATATCAAATTCTTTCAAGAACCCTAAAAACCTTGAAATCCTTATTACAACCCCCCATCTCACTACAAACAAGTCATCCTTGTTACAAACTGACATCTCACTACTTCTCCAGTAAGGGTAAGGCTGGTTTGATCTCCATGATTAAAAGGATGTAGAAACACTCATACATGCCATATCGGTTTTAACATTAAAAAATTTTCATATATTTATTTTCTTTGTATTTCATGATATAGTAACTTATTTAATGTGTTCATGAGATTCAACACTACAGATTTAGACATGGTCCCATGCAGGTTTATCACAAAGCGCAGAGTTCAAAACAGAACAACCACCAATACATGACTCATGACAAGGCAGGCATCCTGAGGAGGCTAAGGGCGTGAGTTCAACACTCACCCCTATTGATTTTGGTTTTCTTTCTTTCTATTTATCCTTTTATCTATTTTCATTCTTTATGTTTAAAACCTTTTTCATAAAACTTAACATTTTTCACAAATCTTTGATTTTTCATAATAAACTCGAATAATTAATTTTAAGGGTTTTTTTAATTTTAGGTTTTAAATTAATTTTTGGTTCAACACCCACCCCTAGCAATATGTATAATTTTGGTTATTTTTAACCTTTTTTGCCTCATTTCTTTCTCTTTAATATCTTCCTTAAAAATCCTAAATTCATATAAACTCTAATTCTATTTAAATCAAAAACCCTATTAATTGGCAAACTTAACCTTTTTTACAAACCCAATTATATTAGGTTTTAAATTTTTTTTATTATTATTAACTCTTTTTTTATTAACTCTTTAATTTAATTAATTAACTTTTTTTTCCTACAAATTAGGAAAACAATTAGGTTTTAGGTTTTCTTTGTAATTAACCCTTTAATTAACCATTTTTTTAACAAATTAATATTAGGTTTTTGTTTTAGTTAGTAACTGAATTTTTGGATTTTTTCATTTATTAATAAATTAAGTTAATTAATTTTTTTTTATATATTAAAATTAGTTAGAATTAGGTTTTTTAATTAACTTAAAATTATTTTCTACAAAAAACACCAAAAACATTAACTTAGAATTTTAGGTTTTAATTTTTCCTTAATTTCTTTTTATTTATTCTTTTACATTTTTATTTCTAAAAAACTGTATAGGTCGCATTATCAATGTAATAGCGTAGATTTATCTTTTCTCGCATTTTTTTCTAATTATGTAATTGCTTCCGAGATGTAATAGTTTTAGGATTTCTTTTCCGCACTCTTCATTATTATGTAACTGCCTCAAAGCTCTGTAATAGTCTAGGTTTACATTTCCGCCTTTACCTTCTGCTACTATATTTTATGCAATGCTTAGACTAGTAGAATTGTATGGAAAGACCGGTAAACTAATTGAGCATAGCATAACCTAATTCAAAGATAATATATCTGAAAATAAACACTACTGCACACTTGCACCCCTAGGGTATACCTCACTCAGTTGCCTCAGAAATAATGGTCATGTCCCTCAAACGTGGGAATATCTTAGCAAAATACCCTCAATTTAAAAGTCATCCTAAAGATCATAGTCCCTTAACGTCCCTCGAGTTGCCTACAAGAAATGATCTTGTCCCTCGATGTTGCCTACAAATATATGAGGACAGTCCCTTCGAAATGCTAAGGTATCCTTACATGTTGCCTTCAATGACCATTACGTCCCTTTCGATAGTCCCTCAAACATCCAACGACTAGGGTTACCTACTCACTAATAGTAGGATAACATGGCCTAAAGGATAGGAGGAAAAGAACGCTTCTTTTCGAGTAGGTAGATAACTGTTAGGTACTTGCTCAAAACAACAAATCTTTTACACCATTCACTTTTAAACAAACTTTTCAAACTAAAGTTTTCAAAACACTTTATCACACCCTTGAGGACTGATACAAGGGTTACCATAAAGTGAAACGCGACACTAAGGCAAATCTAAAAACATTTTTAAAACACACACAAGCAATTTTCAAATTGAGCAAGTACCTAAGAGCCCATGGAAAACCATGGATAGAAAGGATGCTAACACATTCCCTTTCTATAATCTACCCCCGTACTCAGAAACATCTTGAAAAAGGTTTTTTCTGTTCTTTTTCCTTTTCCTTTGTTGGATGAAATAAAAGTCG